CAAATATATTTTTTAGTTATAAATTGTAATGTCATGAAATTAAATTCAAATTGTGTAACTTAGAAGTTAATAAAATTTAAGAACATTTCTAACAGTGTACGATAGAGCGTGCATTTAGTGATACAGCTGGGCACTTACGCACTTATTTAGTAAGCTTTAGAAATTAATATCTCGTTGATTATTGCGAAAATTCCAAAATGATACAAGACTTTTCGACTTAATTTAGTCCGTTCTATCTGCCAATAAGAAATTATGCGGACACCCTATATGTACAAAATGTCCTATTTTTAATAATGTAAATAAACATTAAGAAAACTATAGTAGATATAGAAAATTCTTTGAAACAAATTTATAATTCGGAAGGGTACATAAGAAGATATTACATGTATACCGATTTGACGTTGACGTTGTTAAAGTCAGGTCAAGATCATTTTGAATTTTTTAAATGGAACTCCTCATTTTTCATTACACATTTTTGTAGCTTATCTTAAGAGCTCTCTTTTCAAAATATTATAATAAAATTCTTTTTCATTAAGAACTTTTCGAGTTATAAGGTTTAAAAATTACAGTACTATTGGCGTTAGTATTAGGGAGTTTTTGCAATATCGTTTATCCAAATACGGTGAACGCTAAGATCGGATTATTTTCTTCTTAACAACAATTACTTAAGAAAAGGATAACGTGACTTTAGCGTTCACCATATTTGGATTCACGTTATTGCAAAAACTCCCTATTACCCAAGATGTTTCCATCGACGGTTAAAATCTCTTGTTTAAGATTATTACCTAACATTTGTCAAGATCGAGACATTGGACATTCCTCTTTTCATTTTTACAATAAAAATGCCGTTACTAATGCTAGTAATTTTCAAGCCTTATAACTCGAAAAGTTATAATATTTTAAAAATCTGTTGAGGTAAGCTACGAAAATATGAAAAACAGAGATTTTACTTAAAAAAATTCAAAGTGACCTGACGCCATCCAAGATCAAATTAATGATATCTTTTTATGTCCCCCTTCGAATCATACATTTTTGTTTGAAACTTTTCCATATATACCATAATTTACGAGAAATCTTAATGCATTATCTAAAATGGGATATCCTGTATATAGTATTCCATTTAAAGTTTTGCAATTACTTTTTAAATTATTTGTTATTCTAAAAAATGTTTCAAGTGGATTTTCAACTTACTTTGTTTCGAAAGGTATATCTTTTGATTACGAAATAATTTTATCTAGATCCTCTCTAGATAAATATGTGTCTAAAATTTCAAGGTGACCTTCATTTTTTTAATGGAAATGTAGTTTTTTTACATAATATGATTCCTTTAAATATTCTTCATGTAAAAGTATTAAGATAGAGATACCAAAAAAATCAATAGTTTGCGAAATAATTTTATTCTGGCACATATGTTATTAACATGAAATATTAAATATTTCGTAAATTATTAATTTTTTGATAATCATATCGTAATATTTTTATGAACAGAATAATTATATAAATTAATTAGTGTAAAAAAAAATATACATAGTTGTTGATTTACATGTATAGTTGTTGATTTAAAAAAATTATCCATTTTGACTACATATTTTTTAAAAAAGCAACTATATATTTCTTTACACCTATCGATTCTCGTTATTCTATTTAGAAAGATACTGTAATGATACATTTCAAAAGTATATCGTTTCCGACCGCTTATTAATCGGATGTTATCGTATCATAATAGTAGGCCGTTGACGCAACCGGAAAAATCAAGTGCCTATCGCCGATCGGGATATTTCTCCGCGAGAACCGATATCGTGATGTGTGGGGGATGTTAACCGGCGAGAAAAATCAAACCGTATCGAGATACCCCGACGTCACATAATAAAATATGCGACACGGCAAAAAGACCGGTTCCGCACATAATCCTGAGCAAGGATCGTCAATCCTCAGCCACTAAGCGAGCAAGTTCCAGCCTATGATCCAAGATCCTATACGAATTTCAAGTAAAGAGAAAGGGGATGACGCATACTTCGCCCCCGCTGAGTGCTCAGCAGCGAAAGGTCTCGTCCTTTAAGTGTTTGCAGCGATCTGACACGGGGGATTCCCTGTCTCCACTGAGCGTTCTCAGCAGTCGGCGAATCACATGACTCCCAGACTGGTGCATCGTCTCGGGGTGGAGCGTTCTCTGCCTCATCGGTGTTCTCGGCTATTAGTCGTCCATCAGTTTCACCGGTTCCGGCAATAAGACAGGGATGAAGCGTTCTAGGCAGCCGCTAATATTTATGTATATCGCACTCATTTCCGTGACTCACGATATCTGCGTTCTGCGATTTGCCAAGACTCGATCGGTATTTGCGTTACCAGGGCAACGCGTCTGCGTCCGAATACAAAACAACGTGCTTACTTGTCAAATACGTTCCACGAATCAGCGCTGTACAATCCTAAGCTCGACCATGATTTTCGAGAACTATACATTCCAGCGTAGAAAAAAACAGGCAATTGCGTGCCGTTTAAATCCCCGCGAATACAAGCTTTGTAAAATCACTGAATATTCTGTAAATTATAATATATTTGTGTTATTTTCTCGTTTACGTTTTTTTGTGCATTATCTAATCTTCGTATGTCTATTTCAAATCAATGTGTGACTTATTACTTGCATAATTCAGTGTTTCTTCAATTCTCTTTTCATCGCTTTCTTTCGCTCCCGAACCGAATATTATTTTTTTTTCTTGTTATATCGGCTAGTTCGCGTAGCGGAAGTCAGGTTGTTTCAGTATTAAGGTACGATTATAAAAAAATTAATTAATAATTTACGAGATATTTAATATTTTATGTCAATACGTGCCAGAATAAAGTATAAAATATCTTGTAAAGTACTAACTTTTTGGTATTTATACCTTAATATTTTTTTATGCAAAATAATTAGAGGAATCATATATTATATAAAAAAAAATGATACAATTCCATTAAAAAAATAAAGATCACTTTAAGATCTTGGAAGCACATCCACTTAAAGATCTGTGATCTTCAAAGTGTCCCCTTTGAAAGAAAACAACTCACAGGAACTTGTTCGAATTCCTACCCAAGATACTATCATAAAACATGTCAAAATGAATTAATTCTGACAAGTTCCATGAGGTACAGATGTTTCCAGGGTGTCATGACATCCTAGTTTAACGTTCGATAAACAAGAATGGAGTGATACCTGAGTGGCATTCAGGTGAGAATCTGAACATAGCCCAGCATGTAATATTATAATAATACTGTAGTGACATTACAATATTGCAGTAATATTACAACTTTTAATGCAATATTACGAAAACGTTAATGACATATTATTTTACAAAATATTCTAATATAAAATTGCAGTAATTTTACTGAGATATTACAATGTATATCGCATTGCAATGTATCGTAATATCAAATGTTACAACGTCTTGTATGATCGCGAGTAGTACGACCGATAGATGAAGGCAACGAGGTGCAGTTTCTCTTAAATAAGAACAGATGGGATAGAATAAAGAGTACAGCATTATAAGATTTTTCTTCATGATTTTCAGATGATTTCACATGAAACGATTTTTGAAAAAGAGTTAAAAGAATTCAATAATTAATGTAAAACTGCTGTTTCCGATATACTGTTAATACAAAAATTTATACCATATGTTATATCAGTATAAATATATCGTAACATGCTAAATGAACTTTTTTGACAATACAGTTTTTGATTATTCTGTGTATAAATTGAGTTAGGAATACTTTCTTGGGCTGTGCGATAATCGGGAAATACGATAATATCAGTGCTATTGTGCATTCTTTATCGTTCATTGAACCTGAATAGAACGATATAATAGCGTTGATAACGCACTCCTCGAACATAGTAACAACTCCCTTGGAAATTAATATTATTAGAATATTACTACAATATTATAGAAATATTTCTGCGATGGATTTTCGCGGATATTTAATATTGCAGCAATAATTATGCAATATTAATTATTATGTAATATTAATGCAATATTATGTAATATTACATGCTGTGTGAGAAGTTACATCAAAATTTTTGAAATAACATATAGTTTGAGAGATAATTTGAAATTTCAAATGGGACACTATATAATATTCAAATGGGACGCTTGTTCACGTCGCATGTTCCAGCATGCTCCAATGTGCTCTTGCTATAGCTTTTACTCACTTCAACGAGCGCATTTAAGTAAGTAAATGCTATTAGGAGCATTTTAGAGCATGTTAGAGCATGCGATGCGAACAAACCTTATGTATGTGTGTGTGCGCGCGTGTGTATTATGTGTACACAGGGTATCCGATAATGAGCGTATCAATTCTCATGAGCAGATAAAATGGATTAATCAAAAAGCTTTGTATTATTTAAACATTTGTGCAATAGGTGAGATATTAATTTCTAAAGATCGTCGAATAGCACAGCCTACTGCCAAATATAAGCGCGCGACGAGCCCATTGTCGTAGATTGCTAAGCGCGCAGGAAGTTATTTGCTATAAGCGGTATTGGCAACGCACAAGCGGTGAAAGAAAATATTATGCTTGCAAATGCTTTTGGCGATAGACTGCGGCCGGGCGGTTACGCACATACGTGGCGATCTTTTGAAATTAATATCTCTAGAACTTTTCGACTAAATTTAGTTCGTTCTACCTGCTCACGAGAAGTGATCCGGTCATTACTGGACACAGTGTACCTATATACATATATGTACGTACATATCTAATTTTAAAAATCAGTTTACATATACATCAGATTATAAAATGAGATTTGATACTAAAAAATGATGAATATTGACAAAATTTATCATTAATATCTATTTCAGAAAGAGGCTGAAAAATGATTAAAAATTAAAATGTCGATAATTTGAGCAATGCTTGGCACTAAATGTCGATAAACATTAATTTTCGTTTATGTTGCCAAATATATTTGATCAAATCTATCGTTTAAATTACCTAAATACTAAAAACAATGGACAAAATAATTTAGGAATGTTAAATTGCCTATTCTGTTGTATTGTTATTTCTCTTTAATTATTTGTTAATATTAAAAATTACTTTTCTAATGTAAAATAATGTCAATTCTATCACATTAGCGCTGCTTAGTCTCGGCATGCACTCGTATATTTTCATATGTGTTACTCTCTATCTAGAATAACAACAAACATGTCTTCAAAATGATTTGTCATTTTTTGAAAAAGAGGGAAAGCTTCAATTTACGATTTTAAATATATTTCCTAAACGGTAAACTGAAATAGTAAAAAATAATCCATTATCTTTAGTTTACTTAAAAAAATGTGTCTAATGCTAATATATATTTTTATATATAATAAATCTCATTATTTATAAATTTCTAAAAATCGTAAAGTTATATACAATAATTATAATATCCATTATTTACTTGACAAAGTATCGATAGAAACTTATGTACAATGGTTACCTATTGACCATTTCCTGAATTATTTTGGGATAATTTTGCTGCCGACTGACTCAATTGCGCCAATGTTTCTGGAGTTGCGTGTGCTTTTAAGATTGAATTTTCCGCTTCCAATTGATTGATACGATCCATAAGCTCAGCTATTTTCTCTTTTAATACCTCGACTTCTTCCCGTACCGCGAACATTAAATGACTTTTAACTAAATCCTAGAAAAGATTATAATACAGTTATCATCCATTAAAGTAATGAGCAGTAAATGTTTCTATTATAGTAATTTCTTACCATAGCCTGCTCGATCTTGTTATCAATCGCCACTGCACTTGTTCCCTGCATGCTGCAATGTACATGTAATGTTCATATAAACTTATTCAATTATTAAACATACAATAAAAAAGTTAGATAATGAAAATAGCAGTAGAAAGTGATACAGATTTGTTATATATTATAATGAAATATGATTTATTCGTTTATTTAAATAGATTAATTTCTTTGTAACTATTATATCTCTATCTTTAGTTACCTTTCGTTATCTTCGAGAGTACGATGCTCATCGCTGCCCTGCGTAACCTCGGCTAATGATTCGAGTAGAGTCGCATCGGCCGACTGAATAGTAGTAGTGTTAGCAACGATACCGGAGATGGAGTCTTGTTCCGGGTCGGATTGATGAAACGTCATGTTTCCCTGCTGTTGCAGTCCGCCGACAGCACTCTGACAACCGGCCGTCATTTGTGTGATCTGCACCGGAGCATTACCATTAGTCGTTTGTGGCTGCAACTGCTGCGTCGAGGGTGCAATCGCTTGTGACTGCTGTGGCGCTCCAGCCGTCTTGTGAATACTTTGCATACTTTGTATCCCTTGTATGGCAGTCATTGGCTCGGAGATTTGTGTCATTTGCGGCTGCTGCGTCGCCAAAGGTTGTTGGCAGGGAGCCGCTTCCGACTGTTGATGCTGCGTGACAAGAATGTTTGGAGCCTGAGAGGTCGGAACTGATGTTTGTTGCACCGTCGACTGACAGACATTCTGGACTGGTAAGGATTGATTCTGTGTGCTCACCGTTACATAAGCTTCTTCCTTGGAGTGAGGTATACTTGGCTGGGGAGTTACTGTGCTATTGCTAGTGATAATGGGGATAGATCCTTGAGGCATACTCTGAGGAGGTTGCCCCAAGTTGTTGGGATGAGTAGCCTGCAAATTGGAAGGTAACGTAGAGCCTTGGGTGCTCTGCTGATGTTGCTGTTGTTGCTGCTGCTGCTGCTGTTGCTGCTGCTGTGTAGCTATTGGCTGAGTCTGAGATTGAAAATATTGCGGAATTTGCTGCTGCGCTTTAGCCTGGGTCTGTGTAGGATTATGCTGTACATTGGGAGATATTGAATTATTCACCGCATAGCTCGTACTCGATGCCGATTGCGTGGGATTATTTGACACAGCGATCGACGAATGCACTGTATCTGGTCCATTAGCATCAATATTAATCCCTTTATCATCAGTCACTGTCACTACAGATTGCTTCGCAGTCTCTGGTATAACAATCCCACTGTCGGTCACGCCATACGATATGCACACCTCGTTTGGATCAGATACTTTTGGTGTGCCGATGGCCATCGGTTGATTAACGGATGTATGGTCGAGGTAATCCATACAGGTCCATCGTCCTCTTTTGAAGGGTTCCGTGCTCTCAATCTTCACTACTTTGAACCTCTCATTTCTACCATGCGAGTGAACCTCGCGCAGATCCGCGTCCTGCTTGTCAGTGACAGACGTAATGTCCAGGGTATTAATATTGCTATCATTAACTGAATTACTAATATTGCCGCCCTCAGACGGCACGATGGCCAGGCCGTACTGCGAGCTGGTAGGGATCACCGGGGCTGTGCTGAGAGCGGCATTGCTCGTGTTGAAGAACACATCCTCTTTGGAGAAGGTATCCTCGGAGTAGCTTGGTGTCTCGATGTCGAGATCGGTGATGCGTGAGTGTTCAACGGAATTGTCCTCGGTATGCGACTCGTCCAGGTCATCGTTGGAATCCTCGCCGGCGTCATTGCTCATGCGACAGCCTACGGTGACGCTAGTTATCTGGAACGACGACGTTTTCTTCCGATTGCCACTCGGGGCCTGCACACCGCTGCTCGGTACAACAACCGGCTGATGATGCCTGTCTATCTCGCCAAGACGTATCGTCTCCGTGGTCGTGCGATGCACGGGATTCGACACTTTTCTGCTACCATCTGACAGCCTGTGCGATTTTCTGTGCACATTGTCTGCCATTATTATGACAACTTAACGTACGAGAGACACGATTGTTGCATCCGTCCTCTCGCATGTTAGAATCAACATTGTCGTGCACTTTTCCAGATATTTCTCTCTCCTTCTCTCTCTCTCTCTCTCTCTTTTTTCTCCCTCTCTCCTCCTATCACTCTATCAGTCTCTCTCTCTCTCTCTCTCTCTCTCTCTCTTTCTCTCTCTCTCTCACTCTTTCTTTCTCTGTTTCTACCTCCTTATCTCGCCGATTCGACTTCACCGCGACCGATCGTTTTCGCTCCTGCGGAAAATACGAGACAAGCACTCAATGGCATATTTTGTGCACCAATGAATGTTGACAATTGACCATTGCATTAATCCCACGAGGAACAAGTACGTTTATTCAAGCGACGTCCGTCCGTTTAGTAAGACAAGGAAGACTGTGCTAACTGCTAGCTTCTGCTTGCTTGCTTGTCCGCTGACGACGACGGCTCCGTCGTCACGTTACACATCACACACGCACGCGCGCGCGTACACACAGCACATAGCACATACACACATACACTCTCTCTCTTTCTCTCTCTCTCTTTGTCGCAAGCCCTGTCCTTGCTCCTCCATGTTGCAATCACGCCTCACTTAATCTTACCGTCTCCGTAAAGCCTATTGTCCATACCGTCCATACCCTTTTTCTACACTGACCCCTTTTACACTGAATAATCGGTACGCGTATTAACTAGTAACTTTCTACTAAATTATCTTAATTTTAACAATGTATTTAAAGATTGATGTATTAGATTGATAACATTAGTATCAAAATGATTAATTAAATATATATATCATGTATATGCTTACACGTATCGCCGAAATGAAGATAATTCAATAGAAAGTTACTAGTTAGTAACATGGTGGAAGGGACAACATAGTGGTGCAGTTGGACAATGACTGCGTTCCCATTTCGTTTCAAGGCAGTATCCGCCATTTTGGATATTATACTGGAGAAGCCAATGGCAAGATTCTAATCCAGCTAGCAATCCAGCAGGGTTGCGAAATTCAACTCTGTTAACTCGAGTATCATTTTATCCTTGTTGGTCACCGAATGTTGAATAAAGATAAAAGATACTCGGAGTTAACAGAGTCAAGTTTTGTGCAAAAAAGTGTGAACAACGCGAACAGACCTTATGTCTCTTTCTAAAGCCTGTAGCACACGATATTTTCCTGCTGGATTGCTAGCTGGATTAGAATCTTGCCACCGTAAGGGCTGCGATATTGGCACTGACAGCACCGCAGCCAATACGGTGGCAAGATTCTAATCCAGCCAGTAATCCAGTAGGAAAATAAACATCGTGTGTCGCCGGCTTTAATCTCTGTCCTCTCTGTCTATGGATTGTTCATAAAGCCGATTCCATTAGTTGCAAGCTGATCGCAAGTTTGTTGCAACAGCTAATCTGAAGCTTGCATTTTGAAATCAACGCTTAATATTGGCTGTACAACAAACTTGCGATCGGTTTGCAAATAATGTAGAACTGGCTTAAAAGAATCAAATCAAAGTTCTTCTTTTTCTTGAAGAAGGAATGGAAGGATTCAGATTAGTTGGTGGATTCATTTATGCACTATGTATTATGCGTTAAGTTTGTGATACGATTTAAAAAAAAAACATGGGACGGTCATAGTCCGTTTTTTTTTATTTTAAAATTGTCTTATTAAATGACTGTGTTCAGCGGATTCACAGATGAATGGCGCTCGCTACTATTGATATATTCTTCCAGATCTAAAATACTGATTGGATGATCTAAAAGAATACACCAATAACAGCGAGCGCTCACTCAACTGTTGAGTTTGCTGCCAATGACTGTCAGTGCTAGCATCGTAGCCAATACAAGATGGCAAGATTTAACCCAGCGAGAAAACAAGCATGCGCGATAGTCTTTAGATCTGTCGTGTTTGTACTTTTTGCACTCAGCATCTTTGCTTTCTCTCTTTTCAATGCCCAAATATGTATATCTTTCTCATTTAAAGTACAAAAATTTTTTGAGGATTTTAAAAAACGCGAACAAACCTATTCTTACCATGCTGTGACTCCATGTGACTCATAAAATCCAAACAGGAATCTTGAAAAGAATTACAAAATATCTATATATCTTTATATTTTGAGGAAATTTACGAAAATGTTGAGTGCAGGAAGTAATTGGTTCATGCGAGTCACAAGGCGTGCTAAAAATTTGCATCTAGACAACAAGACGTCCAAACCTTTGAAACCTGAGTTTAAAACTTTACCAAGTTAGAAAATGTTTCTGCTAAATATTTATATTAACATCGAATTGACAGATTACTTACATAAAATCATATGAATTATAGTTTTTCAGTATCCGATAAGTCGAGAGAACGATCGTAGAGTGTATGTGTGGGGTCTTGCGGAGCATGGTGCTCTTGGAGAACCACGAGCATTAAAAAAGAATAGAATCTCGTATCTTTCAAAACCAAAAAGACTGTCCTTTGCTGAGCAACATAGGGTGATAGATATCGCTTGTGGTTATGGTTTTACGGCTTATGCTGTACATTCTTCGGATAAGAATATTGTTTATGGGTCTGGCATAAATACAGATTCACAACTTGGTAACTAAAGATCTATTTTAGTTTTTGCTAATATTATAAAGCCTTCATTAAAAATAAACTTTAATTTTAAAAATTATACTATAGCTTAATTTTTCTACAGGTTACAATCTCGATGAGAAGTTTCTCAATATGATATTTATTCCAAAGCCAATAACTTTGCCATTGCAGAATGCCTCGACTAAAATTATAGGCATGGCTGCTGGGAGAGCACATTTATTAATATTAACAACAGAAGGTTTGTTCACATTAGGTAATAATGCATATGGTCAATGTGGTAGGTCAATTATATTGAATGAAAATTACGAGAAAAGTACAGCTGTGCATCATATACCTGACATTAAAGGAAATAAAATTGTTGCGGTGACAGCTGGTCAAGATCACAGGTACAAAATATCAATTGAATATTATGCAATTATAATTCTCTTTCCAGTCTTTTCTTATTAACATTATATAATAGTATACTTTTGACAGAGACAGGTGAAGTATATACATTTGGCTGGGGTGCTGATGGACAAACAGGTCTTGCACATTATCAAAATGAACATCGACCAAGTTTAGTCAAAGGTGACCTGGCAGGACAGCGTATAGTCAAAGTTGCTTGTGCTGCTGATTGTGTATTAGCTCTTAGTGGTATGTAACTATGCAACATATATTCAGACCAAGTATTTGTATAAATTCTGAAATACGATGGATGTAGTAAGCTTTAAACTTTAAGGAATTAATTAGTCACAATTGAAGTCGGAAGAATACTTAGCTATTATTGGTTAATTTCTTAAGATTTACACTTATTATATTTTCGTATAACAGGTATTAACATAACTAAAATATTTCTACCACAGATAAAGGGAAAGTGTATGGCTGGGGTAATTCGGAATATAATCAATTATCAGTCAGAGAAGATAATTATCAAGTAAACATTGCTACAGAATTATATACACAAGAATTAGGATATATAATAGACATAGCAGCAGGTGGATGTTTTTGTATGGTTTTAAACAGTAAGCACCAAAACTCATAATAATTTTAATTTAACAGTTTTATTTTAATAATTTATTTTAATAAACTATTTATGATTTTTATTTGATAATAGTTTTTATTTTAAGTATCTTTTGTGTTAATTTCTGTCATGCTTATATATCTCTGATTTTAGCTAATACATTTTATATATTATATATATTTTACATATTAACTAATATATTATGTTACAGATGATGGTAATGTCTTTGTATGGGGATACGGTATACTCGGTTTTGGACCTCAAGTGCAAAGAGTATTAAAACCAACCATGATTCCTTCTACATTGTTTGGCAATAATGTATATAATCGTAATGTCAAGGTAATTAAAATAATTTAAATTTATTTAAAAAATCTTTTCGATTCAATAGCTTTTTGTGAACATATTCATGAACTATACATCATTAAATACATTGCTAGGTCACAAATATATACTGTGGAATCAATCAATTGGCGGCGCTAACCAACACAGGGGATTTATACATGTGGGGTTGTAACAGATTTGGGTCTTTGGGATTAGGGCATGTGAAGGATCAATTTTTTCCCTTAAAGGTAAATGTAAAATATATTTTACAAATAAAATATGAATAAAAGATGCATGCGTGCTGTATAATGATAGTTTTTTGTCTGCAATAATTTGTTTTTTTGTAACAGGTTGCAGTAGGAGCCCAAGTGAGAAAGGTTGCTTGTGGAGTGGATCATACAGTGACTCTTTGTAAACCTTTTATTTAAAGAAGCAACATCATTAAATGTTTATTTATTTAATTAAGTTTCACAATATTTTTTATTTTGAAACTTTTAGCGTCATCAATACATATGAATAAAATGATTATAAAATACCTCATTTATGTTTATCGAATAATAAAAGGGTAGCAGTATTAAATAATATTTAGAATTCTAATTCAAATTTGGGGAATGTTGAATTACACTGATATGATTTTGTTAAAAAAAAGTAAAATATTTGCAATCTCTATATCTTTTATATTTTTTATTACAAAAATGTATATATCATACTTATGACTAAAATGAAGATGTTCAACATATTTATATTTGCATTACTTTCACATACCAAATTCTCATAGGAAATAGTGTATTTGATCATATGAGGAAATCTGCACTCATCTGGACCTAAAGAAATACAATATTAGGTGATTTATAAGAAAAGACATTACATGTTTATAAGATAATGCATATATATATATATATATATATA